ATCACCTTAATTTCAAGTCTTTGTAGATACAGTCTGTAAACAAATGGGTCCGCATATATACTCATGATTGATGAGTGGTTTCAAATCAAACCAAGGAATAAATTAAAAACCAAACATTTTGGAGATTATTGTACACAAGCTTGCAGAAAAGATTGTTTCGATGAAGCGTGTTTTTGGCATCTTATTTTATGATTTTGGCTTTGTTATGGTTTGTTATGTGAATTCTTTACATTTTGCTGGTATGTGGTTTGCAACTATAGACTTTACCATTCTTGATAATGGTTAATGGCGATATCAATAGGTTAATCAGTTGATTTACACACCCCATCTAATTTTAAATTGTTTCAAAAAAGAGAAAACAAGTAGTGTAGCTGTAGCACTTCACTCCGACGACACACAGTAGGAAAACTTAAAGAATTACAGAGGATCGTCCAATTTTCCACCAGAAGTTCTCAATCTAAAACCTATTAGCCTTCATGACTCCGCTTTACATACTTGAGATGAAGATTCTCCTATATTGTAATTATTCAAATTGCTAGTATGTCTGAATTTCTAGGGAATAGGGGTGTAGCTCGGCTTAGTTTCGTGATGCATATTGTCCAATAACGTTCACTTTAGTGTCCACAGTCTTTCTGTCAAGGAGAGGTAATTCTCTAAATTATCGATCAATTCTCAAAGGACAATATATGCGCATTGAAATAACTTCATTGTCTTTGAATTAAAAGTCGAGGTAAATTACTATATCGTACAAGTGTTTCTGTACATTGCCCTAGTGTATCAGTAAGCCGTCAATTGCCAATTTAAAGCTCCTCGCAAAAGTCTATTAATGCGTTGTATATTTTGTCCTCTGCAAATGTCAGTGTTTTATGAAGATAAGAAAAATAATCATGCACAAACATCTCTGAGGAAAAAAGAACTCACGCGCGGGATCAAATGCCTTAGAAAAGTAAGCATTCCCAGTCTCGAATGCCAATCGTTTGCTATTATCCTGAACGGGATAATGAAACAAATCTGTGAAATGTTCTCTGCGAAGTAATGGAACAGTTATCTGTATAAAAATACCAAAAAGCGTATCTTTGTCACCAAGATGACGTTTTGGGACATATATTTAGTGTGTGTGTATTATCTTTAAGATGGTCAAAAGGTCTTGTATAAAAAGGTAACAGATATTGACCTAACGTAGAAAACAAGTAACGAATGCTAATTTGGAACTAGAAAAACCATTTCAGTCTAGAATGGCTTTTGATGATATTCTTAAAGAAATAGGAGAGTTCGGACTATATCAGAAACGGAACTATATGTTATTAGCCTGGGTGTATCTATTTGATCTTCCTATACTGGTTTTATCTGTCTTTGTCATGGGAATTCCAGATCACAGGTATGGTACTACAATGAAGAAGTTGTTTTAATTGTTCAACTATAAATTAAGCTCATATATCTTTGTGTTTTGTGGATTAAATGTTTATTGTGTTAATATTACCCTTGTATTTCATCCTTTTATTACTTTTCTGATATAGATCTTTGCATCACGATTCGCCTAAATCTCAAGTAAAATGCAAAAAATGTGTTCAGCACGTATGTTATTTTGAACAAAATTTAAATTACTTCTGGTTCATTCTATTATCTTCATGGATTTGTTTCCGACATCTTAATTAGATATTGATAGATAAATTCTGTTTTAATCAAGATTTAATAGCTTTGCAAATGATTATTTTCAAATGAGAAAAGTATGTTGTACTTCATTTACGTTTGATTGAGTGCGGCTGTGTTTGTATTTCTATCTGTATTATTAAACAGATGATTTTTTTTTTTAAATTTTAGTACTAGTATTGTCTTAGAATAATTGTATTGAAACTTACAACTGATTGATTTGAAAAAAAGAAAGAAAAAAGTAAAATAAATAACTTAAAGTAAAGAACGCCATTGGAAAATGAACAATGCATTGTTAATAATTTCAAAATAAAATAGAAAGCAATGATTAGGTAAAAATGATTCTTTAAAGCAAAATGAGCTGCATTTTTTAAGAATTTTGTTTTGCCGATAAAAAGTGTTGCGTATTATGAAATTTTTTTATAAGAAATAAACCTTTATGTTTGATTTGACTTTAATAGAAAATTAAATTGTTTGAGAGAAAAGACTTCTGTGCAATCAATTATATAACATTATTTAAGAAATCAATATTGTACAGGATGACAATAATGCAATTTTGCTTCAATCATTGTTTATAAAAAGTTCTTTCATCACAAATATGAATATCAAAAGATTATAAATATTCTTTTTCTATGTTCTGGAAATAGTCATTTACAGATTTGCAATAAAAAAAAATTTCGACATCAAAGTTGCAGTTCATATTGCTTTAATATTTTATTTTAATATTTAAGGTGCCAGATTCCCATTCTATATAACGACACTTATACAGTTCAGGGAACACAACATCAAACGCTTATTGACCAATATATACCTTTAGACAAAGATGGTGAGTATGACAAGTGTTCCCTGTATGATATCAGCCAATCAGCAACGGAGTTTGACAACGAAAGCCGACCAATCAACGCCACCAAAATAAAATGTTCAGCTTGGGTTTACAGCGAAGAGGTCTTTTATGATACATTTGTTACAAAGGTAAAATATGTTATTGCGGTACAATAGTTTCTTGAAATTGTCATTACATTCATTATATATATAGTAACTCTAAGACTTATATATTCGTACGCTTTACTTTTCTTATAGTTCTACATAATGATTGCATATGCAGTGATTTTCATACTGACAACTTTCTTAATTATATTTACCGGTATCTCTTTCATTTTAAGGAAAATCTGGTTTGCGATGATAAATATAAAATTTCGCTGACAAAGACGATTTTCTTTGCCGGTGTTTTGACGGGGTCCTTCGTGTTCGGAATGATATCAGACATGTAAGGAACGTTTTATCCTACCAACGTTTAATTAATAAGCATTCAGATATCTTCTTAACTTATTAAAAGAATTTTCAAATTGGCTTCCATTATTCCTTTTGCGGCAGATAACTACTGTACGGGATATATAATACTAGTCCAAGTTAACATCATTACTTTTTGTAAAAAAAATGCTTCTATTAACAAATGAACATCAAACAACTCATTGTGTCTATTGTTGCCAATAAATGATATATAGAAGAAAATTATCTACAACTCTTTTTTGTTGTCAAAAAATTTTTAGTTTGGGACGTCGGAAGACCCTTCTCATTGCAATCCTGCTTGAACTGTCGTCAACCCTCGCTTTGGCCTGGTCCTATAATTACGTCACGTATGTCATCCTACGTTTCTGTACAGGTGCTGCGTGCGTTGGAATGTTTATGACGTCATATGTTTTAGGTTTGTTTTTAAATAATATCTTTTATAATTTCAAGCAGTTGTAGGGTTATTAGGAATATATTTATAGGTATTTAAGGACAGATAATACAAACTTTTGTCAAAAAAATTAAAGATAACAACTTGAGTCATGTTTTATTACGTAAATTGAATAAGTTTTACCGCGTAGTTTTTAATTATTTATTCAAATTCTGACAAAAATGGGATTTGAAGTGAAAAATATTTATATAGAATAATAACGATGGTTTCAGAGAGGTAGAAATTTGAACATCATAGAAGGTTTACATTTTCTTTATTTTCTGGATATTTATTTTTTACATCATCTTCAATGAAATAAGTCCAAAAAATATATACCAATTCGGGCATCCATGTTTTGTTTTGCGTCATCTGTCCTTAAATTATCAAATGTTAAATCATATAAAGATGACTATTCTCCTTTGCCAGACAACGGTATTTTTTACCGTTTTCTGGTTCTATGAAACCATTAAGCTGAGAATTCAAATACATTCTAATTAAATTGTTTGGCAAAACAGAAATTGGAACAAAATACATGTATATCAATAAAAAATTACGTTTCCTATTTGTTCATATTCCATTGGACTCCAACACTGACAACCTTAAAGCTTCGCTTAGTTTGCGTTTGTGAATTTGTGAGGAATTATTCCATTAGAATTCAAGATTTTTGTCCTTATAATCTAGTGAAAAATTATTTTGTTTTTGTTGTTTCTGAGTTTTATTTAAATATGTTTGCATTTCTTTACATAAATCAGGAATGGAATGGGTTGGTCCCACCACAAGGACCTATGCCGGTTTGATTATAGCCTTCTTTGGTCCAGTAGGGGAGCTCTATTTCATCCTCGTGTCCTATTTTGCTCGGAAATGGTTCTGGATAATCATTGCTGTGGCTATTCCCTTTGGAATAGATGCAATAATTTGGTGGTAAGTTATTTCTTTAAAAAAATTAACGTTTAAATTTTTGGGTCGCGCTTTTTGCAGTTCAGGATCACTGCTACATGTACGCAAAAAAAGTTCTTCGAAAACACACTTAATAAATCCTCTGAAGCATTTTTTTCTCTTAATTTCATTTCCTTATTAAAAATCATTTTAATATATTTACATTCAGTGTAATTTTCCTTATGAAATCCATTAGAAATCCACGACGTTCAAATTTCTATAGCACACGCGAAACCTTGTCACCGCGCGTTAGAATACACACTAGGAACTATATGCATTTTCTATAATCTGGGAACACCAAAATGTTAAATGTTTTATTTCAATTTAATGAAAAACTATAAACCTGAAAAATTTTACGTAAAAATTAACGTAATGTACATTAAGAATTAATTTTTCATTTTTTTCCCTCGCAATGTTTGTTTGCATTATTAAACCTTGCAACGTCATTTAACATCATTTGACGTCACAAACGGCTCTTACATCTATTAACCACAACAGTTTTGAAGGGCGCTAAATTCACATTTAAGATTAATGAAATAAGCAATTACGAAAAAGGAAAAATAGATAATGTAAATATAAGCATTGCATACATATTTTTGGATGTCTTTGGTCCTATAACACACCTGGCCGTGCCGACAAATTATCATACCGCGCTAACGCGCGGTATTCAATTTGTCGGCACGGCCAGGTGTGTTACAGGACCAAAGACATCCAAAAATATGTATGCAATGCTTAAAACAATCAATACCTTGGTTTCATCATCCATGTAAATTCATGTCATGTCAACAGGTTCATTCCCGAGTCACCGCGTTGGCTTTTTAGTCGAGGGAGAAACAAGGAAGCCGCCAAAATCATAGAAAAGGCCGCAAAATACAACAAAAAGGAAATTTCTCCAAAGAAGCTCGAGGATGTTGTGATAGAGAAAAGAGAAGCTGGAAAGATATGGCTCTTGTTTTCAGACAGGCGGCTTGGTATCCGAACAGTTATTATATTTTATAACTGGTAAGATTTTACAATTTTATTTTGACATGTGGGGTTCAGTTTTTCTAAGATGTTTTTGGAGGAGGTGGAGATAAAAAAAAAGTTTTTTCCGAAAAAAAAGTTTAATATAAATATAAATAAAGAATTTTACAGTTATATGTATGTGTAGCTATCTGGATGAGAGGGATTATGGAACAATGCTTAATAATGAAAATCTTTGCATCTTTAAAGTTGGCAACTGGTGGTACATGTACAATTAACTGCATATGGGTTCAACGAAACTATTCTTCGTTTAAAAATAAGATCACCATTTTAAATTTTAAAAAGAAATATTCATCGCCCTCGTGGCGCAGTGGTTAGAGCCTCCTCTTTCGAATGAAGCCGTATAAACCTTGGTCCCATTTTGCAGTGGGTGCTAGCACAAAAACGATTCCTCATTAATCAATGGCTATAAGTGTTGAGCACTGGAAAAAAATTTCGTACCCATATGTGTGAATCATATGAAATGACATTTAACAAGATATTAACAAAAAAAAATATTATAAAAATAATAGTTGTTTTAAAACCTATTTCAGGTAAAACGATGACCTCTTCTCTCTCTTAATTAAGGTATCAACATCAAATCTTGATATGTACATTGAAAATAAAAAAGAATCAATATAATTTGAATGCTTACTTCTTTTCCTTAATAAGGATGGTGGCTAGCATGGTGTTCTATGGCCTCTCTCTTAACACAGGGATTCTTTATGGAGACTATTATATTAACTTTCTCATCGTTGTGCTGGTGGAGTTTCCAGGCCATGCATTACCTCTGTTTATGATTGATAGATTTGGCAGAAAGAAGAGTCACTTTATCTATATGGCTGTCGGTGGCATTGCCTGTCTGAGCACAATTTTTACCGTTACCTATGGAGGAAAAGGTAAAAGTAAATTTCGAAAGAATAAAAGAAAAATTCCGCGATTTTTTTTTTTTTTTTTGAATTCCCAAAATACAATTACATAATGATAAATAAGATTTCTAAATGTCAATTACATGCATTACTATTAAAGTTTGGCTGATATATGTTACAGTAACTTTTTTTATGTCACTTAAGCTCACTCCTCCATGACACTTGATCCCACCTTTGGAAGTCCGTGTTTGCTCCGCTTCTATTGTTTTATAGACTGCTGAGCTTAAATACTGTTCGTTATCTTCAAATTATTTTACTTTTTGCTGTATAACCTATTCAGATCTACAAATCCTCACCACGGCTTTGGCGATGGTCGGTAAGATGTTCGCTACTGCTGCGTTCGCCACTATATACGTCCTCTCTGCAGAGCTGTTTCCCACCGCCATAAGGAACGCGGGGATGGGCTCCAGCTCCTGTTGGGCTCGAGTTGGAGGGATGATTTCACCATTCATAGCAGACACGGTTTGTAAAGTCATTGACTCTAATATATTTTCTAATAAATAACTATTCATAAATTTATATTATCAAAACACCCATTCTCAATATAAGGGCGCAAATAATGTCGCCTCGTTTTCATTTAGAAGAAATACCACTGATGTAATTTTTAAATCAACATTATAAATAGTCATATAACAATGAATAAGAATTCATATAATTATCGATCTGAAAGGGTATTTAAGGAGTTCAAAATTCAAATATAGTAGCCTATTTGAAATGTACGTTACTGTCGCCGAGGCAAATATTATGCTGAATCCCCTCTGTGTAATATATAGTTTTGATTCTCAAGTAAAAATTTTCTGATAAGTTAAACCTTGTATCATATATACTTCTTTTCATAACAATAAATATATTTTCTTTGTGATAATAAATAATTTTTATTGTGCAATGTCCCTGTCGCTTAATTCTATTTTAACCACATTACAAGCAAACACAAAGATTATACACCTGATAGTTTTGTTCTCCTTTATTTATTGATGGGCTAAATTTGAAATTTCAAAGGGTTAATTACTCCTACATAGATAATGCAACATGAAATTGAACAATTTGAGCAACTTTTATAAATATGTTTACGGAATGAAAGACATTTTCAATCGTAGAGATAAGAAAGAAATGTACGTTACCTATGTTCTTCCATTAAGAATATATATTAAGTAGAAAATATGAGACGACTCTGAATAAGCAACCCCTTGTATCCTGTAAACTGGCAAAGACGTTTTGCTTAACACAATTAAAAATTATTTTTTACATGAAAAGTGATCATTTGAAATGTACGTGACTGAAATGTACGTTACCATGAAATTCGAATTAAGTGAATCTCGCACGAATTTTCATGTATTCTCATACTTTCACACACTCGAATGTGTACACAAAGTAAAGTTTCAAATGTTGGAGGTCGGCTAAATCCCAAAATTAATGAAAAGAAACGTTTCTGCTGAGGAAAAAAAATATATTAAGGTCAATTATATGTAATATAATTTTGATACCTGGTATATATTTCTGAATACGAAACCTGTATGATGCAATTTCTTATGATATGCAAGTTCAAATAGTATCAATATATTGCGTGTCTAACGTACGCTTGTGGAAGAGAATTGATTTTTATATTTGAAATGTACGTTACGAATGGTAACGTACATTTTGCGCATTTCTAACTGACATTTTTTTTATTATTTAGTCAATTAATTGCTTTTACACGAGCGAAACAAAATTATCGTTACAACGGCTCTTACATCTATTAACCACAACAGTTTTGATCCATTTGACAAATGACCACATAAATCCATCTAAATGCACCCCAATCCTCGTAAATGTGGTGGACTGTTACCACTTGCTAGAAAATTTATTTCTATGTGTCTTAAATTCATCTTTAGCAACCTTTTTGCAGTTTGTTTACTTTTAATATGCGACTTTTCGTCAATATAAATTTAATTGTTCTTAGTAATTTAAAACAAGGTATTCATAGGCTTATAATTGGTAAAAAAAAAAAAAACCAAAACGAAACAAAAAGAAAAAGGAAAAAGAAACAAAACAAATGAATCCAAAGAACACAAGATGGTCACGTACATTTCAAATACTGAAAGGCACACAATACTCAGTTTTGTTTGAATCATTGCATTTTAGGTTATTATATTTTTCCAGATCTGCTGAAAATTACGTATGTTTGTGTTTTGACAAACGATGTTGCAACATACTATTAAAATGAAATTGTTAACAAGACTGTTAATGGATATATATAAATAGATTTATGTTAAGTTTCATCTGGATGAGAGGGATTAAAATGGCCAAACACAAGCATTGTTAGATCATAGCAAAATACGTCTGACTCTTTTTTTTTGTCTGTACCCTTGCACACAGGTAGAAGTAACTAGGCTTACGACTATTCGGTGTCAATTTCAGCGAAACAGCACAAAAGAATGGTAATGAACTGAGATGGAGTGGGACTCTCCAGTAATATGTGAAATGAACGTTACCGAAGTGACGTGACATTCACGTAGTTGATGACAAATAACCACGTTTGTTACTATATTATTTCTTATATTACTGCGTTAAAACACTTCATTGAAATGATTTTTATGTCAATAACTGTTCTTTTTCCAATATTTTCTCTCTTACTAATTTACGTACATTACAAGCTTGAAATGTACGTTACCTACTCATATTAAGAGGCAATCGTGTCTTTATAGTGATGATTGTGACATATAACACAATGTGATTACATAGAGAATCTTTTTTGGAATAAACTGAAACAAAACTATGAATTTTTAGATGAATTTTAAGCTTTTTATTTAACAGAAATATATCTTGAAATGTACGTTACATTTACGTAGTTGTCTAAATCGGCATGGATATATGTTAAAATAGACAGTAACTACAAAATATAATTTTACTACATGTACATGTTAAGTTCCACTATCTATAGAAAATGACAAGATTCTAAACTGATCGCCCTAAACAAAACAGAGAGAAGAATTTAAAGCATATATCTAAAAAAATGTTTTTATACATCTGGGTCAAAAAGTAACCTTTGTTTTTTGAAAGGAAAAATCAAGCGCACGTTCGTATGCCGAGAAAATATGTTGCTGACAGAGTTGGTAGGATGTGCTGGTGTTAAGATGAGATATTCCAATTGTGATTTTAATGATACATTTTTTTTACATATCTTTTTGGACATTGAAGAAAGAGTAACGTACATTTCAAGCTACATTTCTGACTATATAAATCACTCTCTCTACTTTACCGTCTTGTCATTATTCCATGTATTAAAATTTGATGAAAAAAAACCTGGAAACAAAATCTTCAGATACTTTCTTTCAAAGGTAATTGATAGAAAAATGGTTATGTAAAGTGAACTAATATTTTTTAAAAAATCAGAGAGGCATTTGTGCCCTTATATTGAGAATGGGTGAAAAGTATATATACAGATATATGTTCTATCTGATGGATATTAACAAAAAAAGAAAAGAATTGAATTTCTTAAAAAAAATAAAGTTGTTTAGTAACTGCATGTATATGTGCATATTCTTACTGCATTTGTATAATAAATTTGGTCAATGCTCAAATAAAACCTTAAATATGGTGTTCATTCAGTTAAATTTACGAATACTTTCAGGTAGATTTAAGAGAATTTATTTTTCATAATTAGGTACTATATATTGTTGAAATACTTGTTTATATACTTGAATATTGCTCTAAAACAAATTATTCCTTTAGAATAAAACATACGCAGTATATAATGCCTTGAGTCATCCGAGCAAAAAAGATAAATATTAACAGATCCGACTTATATACCAGGCCTGGCGGGCCATAAAATTTAAACGAACTCTCCTTTGATCTCAGTCTCAAAAGAGATACAATTAACATTAGTAACACCTATTTTAAGTGCGGTACATCTACAAATTATAGCTCGAAGAGTTAACGGAAGTTAAAAAAAGTATAAATATGGAAAGTTTATTCATGTTTTTTGGTTTTAATCAGGCCGATTTAGTAGGCGGAAGCAGTGGCACAGCAGTACCACTGGTGATATTCGGAGGGGCGTGTCTCATTGCGGCGGGGCTTACCCTCCTTCTTCCTGAAACGCTACATCAGCTGTTACCAGAAACCATCGAGGATGGAAAGAACTTTACAACGTAAGATAAATTTTGTGGTTCAAACATTAAGATTTTGGAACAAATCTAAATGTTTAATCTATAACAAACATAATATGTACATGTACTTTCATTGATATGTTTTATTTGTTATTTATTTTTCCTTTACTTTTTTAATTGTAGAAAAGAATACAAAGAACGTTCAAAACAATACAGAATTGGACTTACAAAGGAGATAGAAGTCACCAAATTTTAAAACTCTTTATAATTTAGAATACTAGTATAATAGAGTTGTATTCATAAATATTAGAATGATGCATTACATATGCATACATGTACATACCTTTTTTATATGTAGAAGTAATATAATTTACCAAGACAGGGACAGAAAAAAGATTGAAGCATAGTTTTATGGATTTATTTTTTCATTAATCATAGGATGGAAGAAATGAAAAGTTAAATAAAACGATAAAATACGAATATTGTTTAAATTAAACTTAATTTTTAAAAACTATTTTTGCTTGTAAAATGAAAATTCTAAGAAATGCATAATTATAATGAAAGCATCTTCGACGTCGTTATCAAGCCGACTTTTAGCAATTCTTAAGACATTCATCTTACACTAAAGTGAAATTTAGATTATATCATGACTTTCAGTGAAGTTTTTGTATACTTTTTTACGCTTACAATATTGAAACTCCAAATGTTCGGACTTCTTTCACCACAACGACAATATCTCATCTTACATTGATGAACATTTTTTCTACTTCCTGTTTTCCTCTCAATGATTTTCCTTATAGTTGAGGGGTCAAAGACAATTTTTTTTAATTCTACGACACGGGGAGGGGGGCCAAGAACTTATAACGGAGGTCCTGATTCACAATGGAACGAAGGATATGGAGATAACGAACAGTATTCCATCTCAAATCCAATAAAACAATATAAAATAGGAGCAGAGCAAACACGGACCTCCGAAACATCAGAGGTGGGATCAGGTGCCATGGCCGAGTGAGCATCTCATGCTGACCGCGTAACACCCGCCGTATGTTTCTTGTCATGGTCAGGAAATAACGGAAAAATCCATCGTCAATTCAGTATATAAATAATGGACTAACAATTAATATCATAAACGTCAGTCAGCATTTGACTCAATGATAAATTGTATTTGCTGACAAGGTCATTGTATCGACCATAGAACTTATGAAATGGTGACTTTAAACGAGACTGCTGAAACTACTAAGCGGAAGAAATGCACCATCACTGCTTAATATATATGACAAATACAAATCTAGTTTGCAATCTCTCATGGGCAATTTCTCCTAGGCATATAAAGTAACAGACCAGCGTACGAAGCATTTGATAAAAGTTAAACATTAGCTCAGTGTTTGAAATTTATTGGAAAATCTTTCTGTATTTGTTCTATCTCTTAATTTTATTTTGAAACAGCTGTTTTCAACATAAATTACTTTTTCCTAAAATGATGTTAAAGATGCAATTAATATATTCAAATCCTTTTACTAATTTGAGTGGGTTATATCCGCGTATTTTACCGGGCCTGACCTTCTGATTATAGCTAGCTTGTAATCTATACATATCAAGGAAGCAAAGTAATGCATCATCCCAACATAAAGGAAAGAAAATTTGAAAAAGAACATAAATGAATCCAGTATGCTGCAGTCTCATAGATTGTGTTTTGTACAACAATCTTTATTGATATATGTTTGTAAATCAATCCTTTATACTATGTCATATTCTATAATCTTCACTGATAAAGCGCGCATTTATAATGTTCTAGAGAGACGATAAAGTTATAAATGATGTTTCAAAAATTATTCACTAGCAAGTTTAAGTCTTTTAATTTCTCAAACACTATAAATGTATATAAGTGACTGTGGAGAATCGCAACACAATTACCACAATGATGAGATATAAATCATATTTTTAAGATGTGTTTTTTATTAACTTTGAGATGTGTACATGATCATTTCGACAGTTTGTAACGTAATATTCCAAAAGAGAAACCAAATAAAATCGAGGAAAAATGCTTACATCGACAAACCCTTGAACCATTAAACTACTAGTGTTTAAAATTTGAAGGACACTTTGATTTTTCATATTTTCACAGAATTTTTTTCCGGACGTCAAAAACAACGTCTGCAATTAACATGATTAGCTATAAACACTAATTGATTCATCATTTTTAAAATGGTAAAAAATTAAATTTATATGAGCTGATTGTCAACACGGGGAAATTTTTTGAATTTATAGGAATTCAAAATTGAATTAAACACCAAATTTTACAAGAATTCAGCAGAGTATAAATAATTGTAAATTTTTAAAAGAACGGAAGATACTGCATGTTAATTATTTTCATTATTTCCCCAAACTAATATAGTGCTTCACGCAAAAATCGCCGTCTCTTGTTAATTATGAATCAAGCAGGAAAACATTGGCTCTGTAAAATATATCCTCCTTATTGTATATTTCATAGTTTGACGTTATGATCATGTTTCTCAAACAAATAGATAAATGCAGAGGAGACTATGAATAAATTAAACTGGAAATCCCACAGAACGTCATGCACGTCGTTCCGTGGGGCCACAGTTAACTACCACGGATATGAGATGACATCTTGTGTTTTTCCTTGGATTGTTTATCCATCAGATATAAGTTGTTTGTTTCCGATCAGACTAGTAAGTATAACTAAATATCTGAACGAGAAAACAGGGAAGATATGGTAAAAAAAAATACACACACATACCAGGAAGGAGAAACGGAGCAGTATATATCTGTATCGTGATCTTCAGGTCAATGTATCATTTGTCCATAATTATCCGTTAGTTTGTCATAAGAGTATAACCAGTGTAAAAACTTATCTTGAATATAAAGGTAAGTAACGAATTATACTTATATATTGTCCTTATTTATATTTTAATAGCATTGTTCATGATGATTACATGTACTAAAAAGTTTTACATATTGCTGATTTCATTCACAACCACAAATAGTTTACTAGTAGGTATACATAAATGTGGGCTGCTACAACTCTTATCGTTGACTCCACCAATACAAAAAATAAGGATATTGATAAATACTAATGATTACGATTAACTGAAAAATAACATTACATTTCAAATGTTCAATATGTTAAATTATGTAGCTTCCTTTTTTTAGTTTTAGTTTTAGTTTTTAGTTTTTGTAGTTTTAAAGTACTCGTTATGAGAACAGTTTTTAAAATGCCTTGGGGGCTTAGATATTTTATATACAATTATCACTTTAATATAGAATATTCGTTTCGTTTAAGGTTTATAAACCTGCATTAGATACTCCTTTCTCATGATAATGTAATCATTTGACGTTTGTTTATGTAAAATGAAAAGAGAGATTAAACAAATATCCCATTCATCAATGCAATGTCAGCATTACAACTGATACGGTGTTTTATTTTTAACTATGATTTCTTAAATGTATATTAATCGTAGTGTAATAACACACTTTGTTCATGAATTCCCCGCCCATAAATGAGTTGATATAAATTTATATTGTAAAACAGTCAGGTCAATTCTGCATTTTTTATGCTATCGATACAATGATCAAACTTGTAAGCAAAAACAATTCATCATCGAGTCAAATGCTGACTGTTGTTTCACATACTAATAGATCTCTCATTATTTATACACTGACTTTACGACAGATTTTTCCGTTACTATAGTATTTCCTGATCATGACAAGGAGCACACGGCGGGTGTGAACGGTCGGCAAAGGATGCTCACTCCTCCGTGGCATCTGATTCCACCTCTGACGTTTTGGGTGTCCGTGTTTGCTCTGCTTCTATTTTATATTGTCTTACGGAATTCGATATTGAATATTGTTCGTTATCTCCACTGCATTTTTCGACATGTTTCGTATGTTCAAGTAGAACTTTACATAACCTCTCATTGTTGAAATATTTTAAGGAAATATTTAGAAAAGAAATATATAATTTAAGATTCATATATCTTTGTTTGTTTCGGTTTCATCTGCTTTTTTATCTCAGGAGGCACCATAATTCTATCGTCATTGGCTTTTTATGTGACTTTTTTAAAGTACAAAAATAATTGTTTATTTGAGATAATGTGTTATCTAAGCAAATCTATTATTTCTTCTAGACTCAGGATGAGTGATCCCTGATTTGCCCGATTTTATTCATAATAAGATAACGTGGGGGAGATTTACTTGGAAATGGCAGTCGATTCAAGGACACGTAATCTTAAGAAACTCTTGACAGAGATTTTAGAAACTGAGAGGGCATATGTAAAGGTAGGTATCTTTAAAAAATATTTTATAATATTATTATATAATTATGCTAAAAATTATTAATTAAATCATTGCATTATAAAATGTGTTTTAGTTAACAACAGTACTTTTTAGACACCAAAAGGAATTCTTTATTATTGCTTATGTGTTCTGTTGCATATTATTTTATATGAATAGTTTTAGTGAGAGAACTCATGTTTCCCCTTTTAAAAAAAATTTGAATAAGCTGCACTTTCAGGGAAATAAAAATAAAACTAATCTTACCTAAGTAACGTTTGTAGAATATAGATATTCTGGCAAGGCGATATCTACACCCGCTCTCGACGGAAACATTCATTACCACGATGGAAATTAAGCAGCTTTCAGCGAGCCTACAGGAAATATTGCAGTTCCAGAGAGCGTTCCTCCAGGGTCTGGAGTCAGTGATGGACAAACACAGTGATGTGTACACTTCAGAGGACGAAAAGGTCATAAGGGTAAGGTTTAAAATTAGGTTTGATATGCCTGAATGTTAGTAAGTTCAGTCCCCAGATGGAAATATTAATCTTAGACTAAGAGAGCTAAGGCTCAAAAAGGTTATTGTAATTCGAAGGTTTTCACAAATTTCCACTGTAAAGGCTTTACAGAAATAAAAACAAAAACATTGAATGCCACAGAATAAAAGCAAGCAAAAATAAACAACTACAACATTCGTGAAAATTGAATTTACAATTTGTTTGTGTTCTTCTTTCTTAAAGAGGGCTATTTTTGCTGTCGGTGGCGTGTTCTTGTTTTACGCTGAACAGTTCAAGATCTACAGCTCTTTCTGTGCTTTGTACAGCAAGGTTCAAGACATACTCAATGCAGGTAAATTAATAATATTTTCCACAGCAAAGTGCTAAATATTCTTAATGCAGGTTAATAATTTGTGCTCTGCACAGCAAGGATTTTTGGCATTCTGAACTCATATTATTGGTGGTGTTTTTACGGTTAGGTAAAACACATTTATTTTTTTAAAAATGTTCAGCAAGGTAGATTTTTTGCATCGTTTAACATCGATATAGCTCGACATATATATTAAGACTAACTACAAGGGAATATACAAAGTTTAAATAAGATTATCTTAATACAAAAAAACAGCAATTTAGATGAAATAGGTGAAACGTTTGCTTTGATTCACAGGTACTTGGGTCGTGGTTTATAAATATTTATAATGTACCTTATTGATATCAATGTAAAAAATACATATCAATAAGGTACATTATGAATATTTATAAACCACGATCCAAGTACCTGTGCTTAGATTTAGTACATTACACAACAAAGGTAAAAATGTTATATTCTTAATAGCAAGATTTTGCAATTTACATAATACAGATCAAAGTATGTGCTCTTATTTGTAAGGTTCAGCATATTGCATAACAGTGGTTAAATATTGTGCACTCATACGAAAGTTCACATTACCTCATCAAAGTCATTTGTGAAGTTTTCTTCTAAATGAAAAACTGATAATTCAATGAAATATTTCTTTGAATATTAGATATTGCATTTATATCATTTATTAATGGTTTCTGACATAAACATATATTCTTAATTTTAACATAAATGAATTATGTCATTGATTTAATGATCTTATATATCTTACAGAGGAAAATGAACGATTACGTCACTTCCTTGACAACCAGAACAAGACCGGGGAGCATTCACAAAGCTTGGAGTCATTCATCATTCTACCAATTCAGAGAGTGTTAAAGTATCCACTATTTTTGAAACAAATGTCTTCACTCGTTGCTGAAGGTTCTGATGAAAATAAGCATGTGTGCAGTAAGAATACCTTGTATAATTTTTAAATAAAGTGTCGCAAACATACTCTGGATTCAATAGAGTAATCAATGTATTTTATTTTCAAACATTGATTAGCCCACCAAAGATACCCACTTCTGTGTAAAGAAAAAAAAAATATCATTTGATGAATTTTAGATTTTATCTTCATCAAGGAAGTTTACCCATGTTCATGTCAAAAGCAAAAAGTATCAGGACATAATGTATTCATTTTTCTTTTTATATTTGATTTGCATTTTCAATTCTTTTTACAACCTCGATATTACCTTGATATATGTATATACGCTTTTGATATGATCCAGATACAACCTAATATGATCCTGATATTACACAGATAAAAGCTTATAAGTTTTCCTTTAAAATACGAAAAACTGCTGACGAATTAATGTTAGTTAAGTCTGCTATTTCCTCAACTGTATATCTAGCATCATCGGCTATTGTATTTTGAACAGCCCGATTTCTTGACCGCCGAAGCACACATGTGACCCTGATACAAGACTGATCTTGATCGATTTTCTACCCTCTTTAAAATGTGCTACCCATCTTGCTATTGCTGGATATGAAAGAGCATGCTCTTTATATACTATATCTAAATCGGCTTTTATTTCCGTTGACGTACAAGCTGAGCATGAGCGAATTTTGCAATACGCTCTGATATAACCTTAAATCAAAAAATTTGATTTCCTTATCATCATTTTTACGCCCAGTATACAATATTCCTGATTATGACGTCATTTTACAGGGTTTACGTCATTTTGAATGTAAAATGACTGTACTACCTATGCATATTGACCTAGGCTTTACAGTGGTATAAGAGTCATTTTAATGAAATGTTAAAATTTTATATGCCAGTTCTCAGAACTTTTGAAATGCCTCCTCACAGGTAAATAATGTCATTGATGGAAATGATCTTATATATCTTACAAAAAATGAACGATACGACATTTTAACAACCAAAAAAAGACCGGGGAACATTCACAAAGCTTGGACACAAAAATTCATCATTCTACCATTTTCAGAGAGTGTTAAAAACATTTTTGAAACAAATTTAATTTTTTTCTGAAATTTTTAGGAAAATAAGCATTGTTTTCTTTAAGAATACCTTGTATAATATTTTATTAAGTGTCGTAAAGACACAAACTCTGGATTCTATGAAGTAGCATTTCATCATTGTATTTTTTTTTCAAACATTGATTAGTCCACCAGAGAAACCCACTTATGTGTAAAGAAAAAAAATATCATCTGATGAATTTTAGATTTTATCTTTTTCAAGGAAGTTTACTTATGTTCATGTAAAAAACAAAAAGTATCAGGACATAATCTATTCAAGTTCATGTCGATTTTTGATTTGCATTTTGAATTGTTTTAACAACATTGATATTACCTCTATCCATGTATATAATTCTGATATGATCCAGATACAACCTAATATGACCCTGATATTACACTGATAAAACCTTACATGACCCTGATACAACCCTGATATGACCCCCAGTCAACCTAATATGACCCTAATATTACACTTATAAAACCTTAAATGACCCTGCTACATGTACAACCCTGATATGGCCCCTAATAAACCTAATATGACGCTGACACAACCCTACATAACCCTGATCTAACCCTGATACAACCTAATACGACCCTAACACAACCCTGGTAATAGTCTGATGATCTTGATATAACCTTATATGACCCTGAAACATTTCTGAATTGCTTAATAACATAGACTTCGCAAGTGTTGCTATCTAACAACATGTCGATAAATACGGGATTTCAAGTCTAAATTAATTAGACACAAATATTTGTAGAGGCCTGTGAAGAAATGCAGTCAGTGGCCAATCATATCAATGAAATGCAGAAGTTGTATGCCGAGTTTGGTGATTCCTTCCGGTTCCTCTCCTCACAGGTGAACACAGATGATATCTTGTCCATGAAACCATCTTTAATCTGACAAAATATAGAAATACTGACATTTTAATAATAAAAAAAAATCTGGGGAAAACGACGAATTAAACACAAAAAAACATCAATATCTACATTTTCTGTACATGTACAAAACATTTTAAGCAATTTAATTTTTTTCAATAATTTTTATTAAAAGTTCCATTTTTTTCTTTTACAAGATCGTGCTTTTTATCTTTTTTTCAGGAGCCTGGTATACGAGATCTTTACGCAGAGAGACCCAGCAATACCTACGCTGCAGATAATATCCCTGTCATCAAATCAGGATACTGTATCAAAGAAGGAGACAAAGTAATCCAAATTATCATCCAATCCATCTGATCTTAGCTGTCTATAATGTCCACGTCAACTTTTCCTTTACCTGTCTAATGTCCACGTCAACTTTTCCTTTACCTGTCTAATGTCCACGTCAACTTTTCCTTTACCTGTCTATTGTCCACGTCAACTTTTCCTTTACCTTTCTAATGTCCATGTCAACTTTATCTTTACCTGTCTATTGTCTATATTACTCAGTATTTATACCTCTCTTTCATATTCGGTAGCTCATGTACTTCGTCTTTTTTGCTGTTTTCTACTTAGTATACCTTGTCTGTCTATCATCTACGTTAACATGTCCAATATGTCTATTATGTCTGTTTGTGTTTCGTTTCTCCTATCTGTCTATTTTCTACTGTAATATTTTGTGTCTGTCTATATTAGTTTCGTTAGCATTTATATCCGTCTTTTTCTACGTTAGTATTTCCTGTCTGTCTATTTTCTATTTAAGGATTCCCTATCTGTCTGTTTTGTTACGTTAGTATTTTCTATCTCTTTATTAGCTTCCTTAACATTCATTTCTGTCTTTTCAACTGTAATATTTCCTAAATGTTTGTTATCAATGATAGAGCAAATTAAAATTGTACTCGTACAAAGAAGCCTAATGAGTATTTCACGTATATTACAGATGAAGAGTTGGAAACGAAGATTTTTTGTCTTGAATGAGTATGGGCTGTTTTACTACGTCTCACAAGAAGTAGGTTGATACAGCAAATTGCTTTGTTTTAATTCAAGCTTAACATGTACATTTTTTCGTCACATTACCACATAATTTAAATACAGAATATAATACTATTAATTTTAGATTTCCCCCAATGTTTGTCACTCTCCACCTACCATACAATATCTGCAACTTTCATCTAGATAATACTATAGAGTCCATTCGTATGCTAAACGTTTTTTTTTACATCCATCATATTATGAACCTCTTTGATAAATAGGATTTTCCTTGAATTAGCTATTTGCATTAAGTATATTTTTTCAGTTTAACAGTATAATCTTTTTTGCACACAATTTCAAAATAATTTTTTGCATTAGGGGTAAAAAAAAAATACGATTAGCATGTTTCGAAAATACTCAAAGGATGATAAATATAAATTTCAGTGATAATAATGTTAATTTAGCCTCTACGATGGCACCAAGTCATGGACACGGCTTATGTCAATAGTTATTTCTACACGTAAAATTGCTTTTATGTAGAAAAAGAATTTCCTCATCTCCTCCAAAAGTTATAAACAATTTTCGTAAGCTGATTTGCTGTTTTCAAAATATAATTTCTAGTGCCGGATATAATCGAGATGATTTTTTGTTTGTCGGAAATACATCTTCTAGCAAAACTGTATTCATAAATGTAAGTCTTTTGGGGAAAATTGAAGAAAAACATGAAATAAGGAAATATTTCTGACAATTACACTATGCATTTCTTAGCTAAATTAAAGGGCTAAACTACATTATGAAGGATATGGAGATAACGAACTGTATTCGATTTTAAAGTCCATAAAACAATACAAAATAAGAGCAGAGCAAACACGGACCCCCGAAACATCAGTGGTGGAATCAGGTGCCATAGAGGAGTGGGCATCCCCTGCTGACTGGTCAAATCTCTCGTGTGCTCCTTGTCATTATCAGAAAATTACGGAAAAATCTGTCGTCATCTCAGTGTATAAATAATGGATTAGCAATTAGTATGAAAAACGTCAGTCAGTATTTAACTCAATGATAAATTGTATTTGCTGCTGGAAAGTGTTCCATCTGTCTGCAGGCACGTAGCAACAAGGAGGGGTCAGGGGGCTTGCCCCCCCCACCCCCCACTTTTCCCCCCAACCTTACTTATACTATGATAAATGTTAATTGGAAGTATGGTTGCCCCCTTTTAGTAATGTATAGAAAATGTAGTATAAAAATTGATACTAAACATAGTTGACATTGAGAAAAAGTTGGCTTCCCCCATCCCCACGAAATAGAATTTTCGACTTTGGGCAACTTTCCCTTTTTAATTTTCATTTATTTTTATTTTATTTTATTTTATTGCTTGTCAACTTTTTCAGGTAAGTAAAAAAAAAATTCTGGCTTCCACACCCTCACTTTCAAAAACGATGCTACGTGTGTCATGTGGCTTCTATACTTTTTCGCATGTTTAACGTCTCCAGAACTCAGAACAAACCTTTAACAATTGTTTGGAAATAGAGATTCAAGTTAACTTTACCCTATTTAAGGTAATTTTAATAAATTAACAGGATTTACATACAAATATATTCCAACTGAGAGATGAAAAACTTTTTTATTTAAACTACTTATCCTACGTGACTAACATTTTGCCATTATATGTCAGAAAAGGTAGGAATAGCTTAACATATTTTGGTAAATTTATTCGAATTCTTCATCAGAAAAATGACAGTTGAAGGATATGGAGGTAACGAACAGTATTTAATATCAAAGTCCATAAAACAATACAAAATAGGAGCAGAGCAAACACAAACCTCCGATACATCAGAGGTGGGATCAGGTGCCATGAAGGAGTGAGCATCCCCTGCTGTTTGTTGTATGTTTGCTAATAGTTTAAAAGAATTTCAAGTAAAGCCTATATTGACTTTTGCCTAAAATATGTTATACGTATACACCCAATAGTTAATAAAATATTTTTATAAAAAGAACGCTAGGGTTTAATTGTCTATATTTACGCGACAGGAATTATACCGACATAATTTTGACAGCTTCTATCTTCGCCTTCTTCTGATAGAATAAGTGATTATTTAATTAATTCATTTGTAGTCGACAGAACCTTTGCGACACATTCCCAGAGATGAAATGCGGCATGTGAAATCTAGCACAATGTAAGTTTATCTCTAGACAAGAAATATAGATTTTTTTTACTAACAAAATATATATATGGGTCTAATTTTTTTTTCTATATTAAAGGGTTAAAAAAGGTATAATTAAAGTTTTGTGCTTATGTATGCATTTAGAAATAAGCACAATGGCGGAATTCATGGTATGTTTGAGTTGTACACGGAAAATCGAACTTTTTATATCGAGGTAAATATTTATCTTTTTTTTTTTTAATTAATTTCTTAATCAGCACTGCTAAATGAAATTTGTTAAGACTTTCATAGAATGACGTGATAATAAGTCTAAGTTTGCTCATCTTCTATATGACATTCATCTGACTGCGATTTTTTTTTTTACATTTATTTAATGTTCTGTTTCATTTTGAATATTACAAAATTTAATGTATATTATCAGCAGGAAATTCTGCAACAGTTAACTGGAATTTTATTTTTCATATCTCATGAGTTAACTTTATATATTAATATATATAATTAATATTGATATATTTTTATACAGTGTGAAACTCCTGCCGAGGTTCAGCTGTGGATCAAAGCAATACAATCTCTTCTGCCCCGCAAGGTAGGAATATTTTTACATTTGTTGATGCAAAAGTTATATTTAAGATTTTGCATTAGCAAACCTTAAGCAGTAACCAAAATTCACAGAGATATTGTTATTATATTTTGTCGTTTTGAGATTTTTTTCCAATATCTTTACTAATAATCTATACTATTTCAATAACAGGTTTGTATTCTTTACTGTGTCTTCATCAAGATTCAACAGTGTTCTAATTCAAAGAAGATCTACAACATTCAATATCTAAGAAGACATGTTTCCTTACTTTGAGTACTGTGGAATCATTAGATTTAATGTTGATGTAATTTTAGTGGATTTCGTGGGTCCGTATAATCTGAAAATTCACATTCTCGACCAATTAACAAATTATGGTTACAAAGCCACATTTCCTTCTGAAGTTATAAAAGAATGCATGAAATTACATTCCAAATGACACCAATAATTTTAATATCCACAGTGGTTAATTTGTTTTAAAAAATGACACACTTTGTTTTCTGTTTACACTGATGACGTGTTCACTTTGTTTTCTGTTTACTCTGATGACGTGTTCACTTTGTTTTCTGTTAACTCTGATAACGTGTTTGTATTTTGTTTATTCTGGTGACGTGTTTGTTTTGTTTTCTGTTTACTCTGATGACGTGTATGTTTTCTGTTTACTCTGATGACGTGTATGTTTCTGTTTACTCTGATGACGTGTATGTTATCTGTTTACTCTGATGACGTGTTTGTTTTCTGTTTACTCTGATGACGTGTTTGTTTTCTGTTTACTCTGATGACGTGTTCACTTTGTATTCTGTTTATTCTTATGACGTGTTCTGTTTGTTTTCTGTTACTCTGGTGACGTGTTCGTTCTGTTTTCTATTTACTCTGGTGACGTGTTTGCTTTGTTTTTGTTTACTCTTATGACGTGTTTGCTTTGTTTTCTGTTTACTCTGGTGACGTGTTCACTTTGTTTTCTGTTTACTCTGGTGACGTGTTCGTTTTGTTTTCTGTTTACTCTGGTGACGTGTTCACTTTGTTTTTTGTTTACTCTGATGAAGTGTTCGTTTTGTTTTCTGTTTACTCTGGTGACGTGTTCACTTTGTTTTCTGTTTACTCTGATGACGTGTTCACTTTGTTTTCTGTTTACTCTGGTGACGTGTTCTGTTTGTTTTCTGTTTACTCTGGTGACGTGTTTGCTTTGTTTTCTGTTTACTCTGGTGACGTGTTCGTTTTGTTTTCTGTTTAGTCTGTGACGTGTTCACTTTGTTTTCTGTTTACTCTGGTGACGTGTTCGCTTTGTTTTTTGTTTACTCTGATGACGTGTTCACTTTGTTTTCTGTTTACTCTGGTGACGTGTTCACTTTGTTTTCTGTTTACTCTGGTGATGTGTTCACTTTGTTTTCTGTTTAGTCTGTGACATGTTCGTTTTGTTTTTTTGTTTACTCTGGTGACGTGTTTGCTTTGTTTTCTGTTTACTCTGGTGACGTGTTTGCTCTGTTTTCTGTTTACTCTGGTGACGTGTTTGCTTTGTTTTCTGTTTACTCTGGTGACGTGTTCGCTTTGTTTTCTGTTTACTCTGGTGACATGTTCACTTTGTTTTCTGTTCACTCTGATGATGCGTTGGCTTTGTTTTCTGTTTAAACAGAGCCGGAGGACCACGATTTTGAATCAGAGAGACAGTGTTTTCTACACCTCATCAGGGTCACTGTCTAACTTCAAGTCAGGATACTGCACAAAACAAGGCGGAAAGGTAAGTATAAAAAAGAAACTTTATTTAATTATAAACGCCAATACTCAACCGAAGTTGTCTTATTTCATGAATGGAATATTATAGAATGATGCGTAAAGGCATCAATCCAGTTAATGCAATTGTCTTACGATAATTAAAAAACACTTACAAAAAGATGTGCCAACCCCCACCACTGAAAATTAATTTTAGGGAAAATTTCACGTAGCTATTTTATTCTCATGAATTGAACACATTTGAAGCTCGAAACTTAGATCGATAAAAATTAGGAATATATTAATTAGATCTTTTATTCAATAGATGTAATCTGAGACTAAAATCTTTGCCTCTTTAGAGTTTGTAAAAAGTAAAAAAAAAAAACAAATAATTCTTTTACCTCTTTTTATTTGACTGCATTAGACATCGAAAAAAAAAAAAAAAAATAATATATATATATATATATATATATATATATATATATATATATATATATATATATATATATATATATATATATACGAAATTGATTAAGTACAAAAACCCTTTTTACAGCGGAAGAACTGGTTGTCTCGATATTTCGTCGTTAATGAGGACGGTATACAATACTTCACTTCTGATCAGGTTAGAACTGTATATTCTTATGCAAACTATAGAAATTGTTATATTCAGAGGAAATACATGTTTTAAACCTGCAAGCTTTTGTACATTTTACAAGAAAATCAAACTTGAATGACAAAACAGAAGAAACAGAATTTTAAAGTTACTAGTATATTATACAAATTGCTCACTTTTGTATCTCTTTTACAGAGAATTATCATCTCATTCTGTATTCAAAGTCCTTTCAATTGTTTCTTTCCATTTCAAGTCAATAGAAGCATTGCGAGTGATTCCGAGTACTGATGTGCGAGGGGTTCAAGAAATACCGGGGTAAGGAACCGCCAAATGGCGCCAATCAGTTTTATTTTTACATCTGTGTTTTTATGAATATTCAACAGTGACAAAGAATTCTTTATTTTTAGGTCGCAGTTTGGTCGCGAGAATGTGTTTGAAATCCACACATGTTGCAGAACATTTTATTTACAGGTATAAGGGAAAAAAACAAATATTTAATGACAATTAGGAAAAAAGATTATGAATATATATTTCAATTATAAATTAAAATGACTGCACTTATACATGTAGTGTGAGAGCCATGACGACCTAAGGGAATGGGTATCAGCCGTCAGAAGACTTCTACCTCATCCTGTAAGTAAATGTTACATGTAATCTTAAATTGTAAATGTGGCAATAATACCATTGCTCGTTGGTTAGAAGACAACAGTGTTTACCTCGACAATTCTTAGTCGTATACATGTATTAAAACTTTGTTAAATCTATCGATAATTCAAATTCACAATAGCATAACAATAAAATAACTAGTGCTAATTGTAACGGGAACCGTTACAGATGTTCCCCAAACGCTCCCCAACTCCCTTTTTGTGCCATATTCCCTGTAAGCTTCATTAAATAAGGCAAAGTATATGCATTTAAGACTTTGACAACGTTTTTCCAGAAGTATACCAAGTATATTCAAATTTTAGCATAGCACGCGTGCGCATGTGAATCCGTAAGCGTAATGACGATATCATCTTGTCTACACTATTTAGAAATCTTGATTCACTAAATATTGAAGCATTTAATCCAAAAGCATTTAAAAAATACGCTCATTCATGTGTATTTTTAATTTTACTAATTTCACGTGCACGCACGTGCATACATGTGCATGATGACTATACCTTCTTATAGGAGTTTATTATGTCTGCTTATGGTCCAAATCCCATCCTGTTTGGTTGAAAAACAAGGGAGTTACAGCCATTTAAAGTTTAAGCCAATCAAATTGCAGCGCACGTGCATGCGCATGTATTAATGAAAATTGTTATGTATCATATTGTAGGATATCTTAATGCATGCCTATGTTTAAAATTTCATAGCATTTCGTCAAAAATCGAAAAAGATATTGTGATTTTTGTATAAGCCAATCAGAGCAAAGCGCATGTCCACGCACGTGCATGCATGTATATGATGACCATACCATCTTGTAGTAGTCCATTTTGTTTGTCTATGTTCTAAATCCCATCTTATTTGGTTGCAAAACAAGGGAGTTATAGCCATTTCAAGTTTAAGCCAATCAGATTGCAGCGCACGTGCATACGCGTGATTTCATGATTTTTTTTCTATATCATATTGTAGGATATCCTAATGCATGACAATGTTTTAAATTTCAAAGCATTTCGTCAAAAAACAAAGGTGATATAGCCATTTGAAGTTTCAGCCAATCAGATTGCAGCACACGGGCATGCGCATGCTTTCATGAAAATTCTTATACATCATGCTGTAGATCTTCAAAATGTAGGTCTATGTTCAAAATTTCAAAGGATTATGACAAGAAACAAGAAAGATATTGAGACTTTAGTTTCAGCCAATCAGAGCGAAGCGCACGTGCATGCGCGTGAGATCTTAATTTTTTGACCATGTCATTTTGTCTATTCTTCTAATATATACTTATAATATGAGTTTCAAAGCATTTCATCAATAATTTAAGTAGTTACGTCTGTATCAATTATATTGGACATTTCTTGTGTTGCACGTGCGAGCTCTTGCAATCACATGTGCATGCACATGCTTTCATGATAAATCTTATAATACAGGCTGTAGATCTCCCTAATATAAGACTATGTTCAAAATTTCAAATGATTTTATCAAAAAACAAAAAAGATATTGAGACTTTAGTTTCAGCCAATCAGAGCGAAGCGCACGTGCATGCGCGTGCGATCTTGCTATTTTGACCATGTCATCTTGTGCTTACTACTAATATATCCTTACATTATAAGTTTCAAAACATTTCGTCACAAAATAGAAAAGTTATGGTTATATCCATTTTATATTGGTCATTTTAAGTTTTGCACGTGCGCGCTCTTGCAAGCACGTGCGCGCAAAATGACCTTGATTCCGCAAATCTACATAACATGCCTACTTACCCTAAAAAGGTTTCACCTAAGTCGGATGTGTAGTTTACAAGATCACTCGCGGACAAAATTTTCCCAGGAAGAAAAATAATAATAACTAGAAAGTCTGCTATTGCAAGCAATAGCATATGTCGCCCCGTATTAGACAAGACTTTCATTTTTATCATCACTAAAACAAAAGTCCATAAGCTAAGTTTGAACAACCATTGAGTTATATCAGTCCTTTCCATTGGAAACGGAAGACCTTAATTCGGTACATCCCACTC